CTCTCGTCGGGAGGGATTCCTCCCAACAAGATGGGCTGTGAACCATCTCGTCGGGAGGGATTCCTCCCAACGAGATGTGCTGTGAACCATCTCGTCGGGAGGGATTCCTCCCAACGAGATGAGCTGTGAACCATCTCGTCGGGAGGGATTCCTCCCGGCGAGATGGGCTGTGACCATCTCGTCGGGAGGGATTCCTCCCGGCGAGATGGGCTGTACATCCTCTCGTCGGGAGGGATTCCTCCCAACGAGATGGGCATCTCGTCAGGAGGGATTCCAGTCGATGCCTCCGACTCATCGTCCCCTTCATTAATAAACAGAGCGTCCGTCTGATTGGACCAGAAGGCTTGCGATACATGTTGGCTTGTGGTAGATTATTCACCAGAAGGCAAGGCATGTCCGTCCACGTCAACGAATTCAAGCCAACAAGTACCCTTCAACAAGTCTTCCAGGACCATTTGATCCGCGTCTACGCCCTAGGAAATGATAGGAAGGATCAGACTCACCTCCTCATGAACCGCAAGCGCAGCCCTGACTCTACCGCAATCTCAGATCTATCACACAAGCGCACCAAGCTGGAACCAGGTAACTCCAAGCCACCCACTGGCTTGCAACCGGTCCTTAATTCGCACAATGCACTTCCTGAAGTCATTGATGACATGTTTAGAGCGAGTGGAACGAGTAGGCCGCTGGGCAAAAAGAATACAACACCTGCCTATTCCTACCAAAGGTTACAAGAACCCGATGAGCCACTTACTACGGATCCAGTATCCTACTTGGTCATCGGACCCCGGCTACGAGGGAAATTCTTACCAGAAAAGGCTAAACAATTGGGCGTCAAGCCCGGTCCGAAATTCGCAAAACTGGTCAATGGGGAAAGTGTTCAGGTTAATGGTGAAACTGTGGTGACTAGTGATATGTGTGTGGAGGGCGGATCAGCTGGTTTGGTATGCAGTCCTGCTCATTCCAATCAAATTCACAAGCTCTCCTAAGGGGTTAATAAGTATTCAACGATCATTAGGCATTTTTTATCTCTAGTATCGGCTCAATGGAACAACTTGGTCGAACAACATTAGTCGATCCAGCGTGTATCTCCAGGGTCAGCGATGGTGCAAACCTCTGCGCGGTCTATCATCTCGTGCACGAAGATGTGGTACTTGATGAGCGATATATCCAATGATGAGAGGTAAATCATTAATCGACTGAACCGTTTGTTGAAGTGTGTGGGAAGCAGAGGGAAGGACGATTTGAGGATAATCGGCTTAAAACCGCCGATGAACGACCGGCACCGACGAACGGCTCAAGCCCTGGGCTATCCCATAAGACCCAGGCCTGGGTCCTATGGGATAGCCCAGGGAATATGTACATATGTATAAAGTATACACATGCACACTCCCATACTCCCCTCAGAAGGGGAGTGTGGGACCGCACTCCAATCACAATTGGCGTGCAGGTCCGCACGCCAACCTGCTGGGGGAATGCCTGCGCAGAGGGTTGGAGTGCGGACCCGCACTCCAATTTCAATTGGAGTGCGGTACCACACTCCCTTCAGAGAAGGGAGTGTTGGAGTGTGTGTGCGAAGGGGGGTGGAGTGTGATTATCACTCCCCCGTTGAGCATGTACCTTGCCAGCTTGAAGGAAACCCTTCCAGCCAGCCATCTCCCCTCTGGCCTTGGGTATACTTTGAGATACCCGGATACCCTCCAGTGTGTTGCGCGAAAGGGGCCATCCGCACCCGCTGGCACTGGCCGGTATCTGACAGCAGATAGCGGGTACAGTGGCGCAACCCATGTTACTGTACACCACCACCAGCAAAAAAAAATTTGGCCTATTGGCCTAATGTTTGTAGACACTTGGGGTCCATCACCCATTTTCATTGTAGATTTGGGCTTTTTGAGGGCTGTAGCTTCCATAGATAAAAGGGCTAAGCCCCCACTGCTCCAACAAAAAAGTTTTTTTTATTTGGGGTCAACATTTCGGAATCCATGGGCTTAAATGCCCCTACAGTCTCATATTCATGTACTTAACTCTGATAACACATAAGTATGTCTTCTCCCACCAAAGGTATGTGCATAAATTATAAATTAGATTACATTTTTGTTGCTACCAAACATGGTCATTTGACTCTGGGATGTAATATTTTCCAAACAAGTGGCAAAAATTGCAAAATTTCTAAAATTTCCAAGCCCCAAAACCTAAATTTTCCTCAGATCCTGCCCTTCCCAGGGCAGATTTTCTTGATTTTTTTCCTCCAAACATTTCGGAACCCCAAAATCCATGTACAGCCCCTTGACAGAAAAAATGGAACCCTTTGATTGGAGTCTAGAGGGCAAACCTATGGACTTGAATTTATGCTTCCTGGTGAAAATGTTTAAAATTAGTTCTAAAGAATGATTCTGACACATTGGATTGGAAAATGTTTTGTAATTTGTTTTTTATATTTTTCCTCATTTTCTGATTTTTTTGAAATTTTTCAATCATTTTTCAAATTAGCTCAAAAATTCAGGAGCATCACAATTACATGTGAGAAGAATGATTATAAATGAAAAATTGAGAAAAATCAATGATCAAAAGTTTAGAGAGCTGAAGAAGTTGGATTGAGGATGAAATTGAATTCAATTTCAGTGCCTGATTGGAGGGTTGGTCTGGTGGATGACACAATCAAAACATGCTTAAAAAGCTGTTGATCATTTTTTTTTAAATTTTTCATTTATAATCATTCTTTTCACATGCAATTGTGTTGATCATGATTTTCTGAGCCACTTTGAAAAATGATTGAAAAATACCCAAAAAAAAAATCAGAAAATGGGGAAAAATACACAAAATTTTTACAAAAAAATTTCCTATCCAATTTGTCAGAATCATTCTTTAGAACTTATTTTCCACAGTTTCACCAGGAAGCATAAATTGAAGTCCATTGGTTTACCCTCTGGACTCCAATTAAGGGGTTCCATTTTTTCTGTCAAGGGGCTGTACAGTAGGATGGGTTGCGCCACTGTATCCGCAATGGATAACCATCAACCATCTCTAAACCGAATATGATCTTTGAAAAAATTTGATCTTATGGGAAAAATAAATTGAATTGAATATAACATTGGAATTGGTAAATGTTTGCCTGGAGATCTGGCTAAGTGAAAAGAAAATTCTCCCACACACCAGTAACAATTTCATCAAAATAATCAGTGTTTAAGTTTTGTGATCTACCATCATAATGATTTGGAGAAAGCATTGATCATTAAATTAGAAAATGATTGTGTTCACACCTTGTAATTCAATCTCAATCAGTTATATTCATTCTTCCCAAATGTTTGAGCTGGATATATGATTCTTCTGAAATCCGTAATATTTCAACTGGGATACCTGGGTAATGGAGATACAAATCAAACAATGAATAGGACAGGCATAGGGCATAAATACAGTCATTGATATATCAATGATGGGGCTGGGATAAGCTGGGCCATCCAATAGTGGGTTCCTCATCTTTTTTCCTGGTGCTGGTGGCTATTATTTTCTCTTGAAATATGGGGATGTCACAGCTAATTCTAATGAGCATCCTCTTTCCATCTGCTGATGTTCTGATGGGCCAAATTTTTCATAAATGTTAGTGATTTCTTTATAACAGCAAGCTGGTGGCTGAGCAGCAAGCTAGCTAGAATGCTAGACTTGAACCATCCTACTCATGCAGCTCACGCTTGGAATTTATAAAACTTTGAATCCCATTTCAGTGTGTTTGTCATTTTTTTTTTCAAAAATCAAAAGATTGGTACAGATTTAGTGGGGTTTATGATTGAGCTTTTGGAGGCTTGTTTTGCTAGAAATACTTTCTTGTTTGTTTACAGCTTGGATGTTGGCTTTTGCTTGTAGCAAGTGTGTTTTTAACTATTTTTAAGCTTTGCAGCAGGTCATACAGCTGCTGGTTTGGGATAAATGGCTTTATGAGAAATGCCAATCACAAACCCTGCTGTTGTTCAGAAACACCAAAATCTCTCCAAGCTCATAAATTTTTTAAAATGTTGCTGAGAAGTGCCTTAAAATTGGCCTCTAAAAATTTCAAAATTCCAATCATGAACCAGCTCTGGCTCATAGTTAGGACCAACTGCTCATGCAGGCAATGATAACCTTGTACTGGATTCCATTCAAGCAAAATCTTCTTTGACATGAAGAAAAGCCACAGAAATGAATTCTTCCCCATTGAAGTGAATCAAGAGAGAAAACCACCTCAACACAACATCAACAATTTGATGAAGAATCTTTACGGGAGAGTCAAGTAGATGAACAAGCAGTGAAATATATTGTTCAAATGTATCCACGGGTTTGAAAATCTTCGAAAGTTGATCCAGCCTTCGTCTTGCCAGATTAATGTTGGGCGGTAGAAGTCTGCCCAATATTTCCTTGCTTTCCTTTAATATTCAGACACACCCACCCATGTTGCCGTCTCACTGGAAGCTCGACCACCTGTGACAATAGGGGTGGAACATCAAAACCGCATACAAATTTTCGGCCATCTACATCTCGCAATACAAATGCTATAGGACAGGTGGAAAGGTTCCTAACGATCCCAGCTTCTCTGTCGCTACACCATTGGAAAGTAACCTTCGCATTGTCACTTTCATGCTTGAAGGTTGCATCAGTGCTGCCCCATGGTGCGATTAGCTTGCCATCAGAAAAGGCCAGAAACGGAGCGAGTTGAACAAAGGGTTCACGCTTAATTAGCGACATTTCACGCCAGTCACTGCTACGAACAGCTTGATGAACAATTTTTTGGTTCAGCTTGATTTGAGGTTTTTCTCATTTTTGAGTTACAAGTGCTCGTCTGGAGATTGAGTGCTCACCTTCCTCCGTAAATTCCTGGGTACCACTTGCCATCGAGGAAGCAAACCACAAGGCAATCAAGAAAGTATAAGCTTTCATCGTGTTATCGGTTCTAGCTTGTATTCTTGTTTTATTTCAACAGATCGGAAAGGGTAGATGTCAACAAGCACGTATATGATGTAAACACCAAATTCAAAGAAGCAAGTTGTTGCAGGGATTAAAGACAGATACTGGGAAGCTACCTTCTATTCCGTCTAGCTTGATGCTTTGAACCAGCTGAGCGAAGAGTGCGAGGGGCCGAATTGGTGAAAATAGACCAGGATATTTATTGCAGAGAATGCGCAGAGTCTAAACAAAGAAACTGGTCTGATGTCCCGAGGCTTTGGCTATCGCAGGTATATCTGATTTAGCGTGAGGACTCATCCTGGCAGATCGATCAATCGAGTTAAAACGCTAGAGGAGAATTCCAAAGAAAAATTTACTGACATCTGTTTCGGATACACGATCCCAAGAGATTACAACATGCCCGAGCTAAATTTCGATAGCTCGACCTGCCCAGGTTGAAATTTGCCATGTGCATCCCGTTCTTTTCCAAATCCACGAGGGAGTCTTCTACTCGTGGCTTACGGTTTGAATCAGGTTTCAGGATGGACAGCGACCAACTTCATAGAGTCCATGTCCCTCGAAACTACTTGATAGGCAATTTGAAACCACGTATAGCTTCCGGACAATGTTTCGAAATTCCTACGCGCTCGACGTGTCTTGATGCTTCATCACGCTCTATCTGAAGGTTATGGGTTGACACGCCAGATGACACGGCGGTTTCCGGATCTCACTAGCGTCCGTACGCTGGTCAGGCATTCTCGTATCGAAGGCCTAAGACGTCTGATGACAAGATGGGTAGAGTCAGTTCAGTCAATTTTTTGAAGCCTCGGATGAAATTTTGAATCGAGACTAGTACCTTCGAACGCCGCGTGGCAAGTTCCGCGCGGACAAAGAAGTCTATGTTGTACACCAGAGCGTCCTTATCTATCATGTCCTATCGGCGATGGTGTCTGGACGATTTTATTGTACTTGGCTAGGGCTCTTGCCAGATGGTGGTACACTCTGGGACGAGTCTGGGTTGGGTTTCAGCAGTCTCCCAGGCCCAGGCCCGGCCCACCCTGAGCCCACTCCACATGCAAAGCTCGAGTGCATGTAGTCCATGAAGGGAAGATGCTATGGCCACTAGGCGTCGGTCGGTCACTCAATTTATCAACTGTGTCATCCCGGATTTTTGTGGTTGGTCGGTTCCACAAGTCATCGGTCATGGTCGAAAATTCCGCAGAAACTTGTAAGTTGCCTTCTTCCTGCAAACGGATAAACGTTGATTTGGGATCATTGAACCTCCTCTTTTGTTCTTTCTCCTTGGTGTGACTGCCCGTCGAAAATTCCACACTTCCCATCGGTGACAAACTTGTGGACACGTAATGATCGAACAGCAGCTCGACTGTCAAGCCACAAACGTAGCCTATCTAATACATCTGAAGATGATTCGGGTCGTGCTTCAAAGAAGACTGGTGAGCTCAAACACCGGCAGAGGCGCTTCAAGATGTCCAGATGACTTCTGTGGGAAATTAAAATAACGCGTCTTTTCCCATACGATGCAGCACCTATATTTCAAAACATGAAGGCCGGTCTAAAATTGAAATGGTTGGAGCCCATTGAGGATACTTGTTTGCACGGCATGTGCGGTGATCCGAGTCCGAGCTCAAAGATCGCGGCTTTTGATATCGTAAACTTAAAGTCCTAGCCCTTCAATAGATTTGGATACTTGAGATCATCGCTGAGGTTTATTTATTATGTGATACTTGTTTTTAGGATGGAACGTTGATTAGAGTCAAATCTGGCAAGAAATTTCCGGCCAATGCAGATGATTGGAAGCTGTGGGCGGGCAATGTGCCCAAGAAACTTCAGGAAGCTCACGCGAATGGATTTGCGATCGTCTTGCTGAGTAACCAGAACTTTAAAGCGCCCAAATACCGCAAGGACTTCGAATCGAAATTGATCCAACTTGCTAGAACGGTGAGCTCGATCTGGCTGTAGCCCGATTCTCGTACTATATCGACATGGAATAAGACTGTTACCAAAACTCAACCAGGTTTATCTGCTTGATTCAAGCTTAGCGTCCCCTTGCGGGTCTTTGCTGCTCGTGAAAAAGACAAGTTTCGAAAGGTACGCTAGAGTTGAACTATTGTATTGATACTTCCGGAATATCGTAGCCAAAGCCAATATTGCTACTTCCTATCAGCCACTCACTGGGATGTGGGATGAGTTCGTGGCAAATTGGAATGGGGGGGTCAAGCCGAGTAATTTGTGGTCATCGTGTCAAGATCAACTATCGAACAGCATCTGACATATGTTTCAAATTCGCGGGCTTTCCAGACCTCAGTGATTCATTTTTTGTTGGCGATGCTGCTGGCCGTCCAGCGACAGACTCATCCCCAAAAGACTGGAACGATACCGACCGTAAATTGGCATTGAACGTCGGTGTTCCATTCTTGTTAGTCATCTATCTATTCACAACTATCATGCCGGTGCCAGCATTGATTTGTGATACCCATTTCATCTTACCTTGGAGTACATAGCACACCCGAAGAATGGTTTGGTGGGGAACCAAAGCGAACAGACTTCGTTCTCAGCGGATTTGACCCGCTGAAGTTTGACCATGATCGTATGTTGATCATAACTTTGTTTTATCGCGATCCAATGTTTACATATGCGAAAATTAGAGCCGATGCTTACTTATTGACGTGTTTTTTCATGAATACTAGAACCGATATGGCATCCATCTACCACTCCACTGGCGTTAGGACCCCTTTTAGAAAGTGGTGTTACACCGAAGCACTCACCTTGTGAAATAGTTCTGTTTGTTGGCCCACCTGGCGTTGGTAAAACTACTTGCTTTGAGAATTATTTCATGCCTCGCGGATATCGACATGTGGTTTGTTGAGATTTTTTTAATCCAACCGTACAAGTAGTGTATTGACTCACTTCCACGTCTGTCTCTCTACTCGACCTTCTGGGGGAATTGTTTTGATCGGCGGGTAATTACTAAAGAATCAAGACACTCTCAAGAGTTTTGGTGACTGCCTCAAAGCGACTATTGAATCAATTAGTTCTGGTCGATCGTGTGTTGTTGACAACACTAATCCAAGCAAGCAAACTCGCTCAAGCTACATCTTGACTGCCCAAAAGCAACGCTGTCCGATCCGATGTGTATTCTTCACCGCACCAATCGAATTAGCCCAGCATAACAACGTCTATCGCGCCAGTATCAAAGCGTCTAGACCGCTATTGCCCACCCTGGCTTTCGCGAGTTATGCCAAGAACCTCGAAGAGCCTTCGGTCGACGAAGGCTTTGATGAACTCAAAAAAGTTCATTTCGTGTTCGAAGGCTCGGCGGAGGAACGTGCATCTTGGGATAAGTACTTACTATGATCTACTATATTCAGTCGCCCGAAACAGATTTCGCCTGCAAGTCGGCGAAAGGTTTTTTTCTTTTCTTTGATTATTCCAAAATCAGAACCCCCAGCCTTTTTTTTTTCTTCTCTACTTTTTCGTTATTGTTATCCTGACACCATACATTGGAAATGAAAGCTTTCCAAATCAGGTTTCATATCTACGTGTTGGGATATTGATGTATTCAGGCTGTCTGTAAAGCCTTTAATAATCTACCTCCTGTCACAGACAGATGGAGCAGCATATAAATCCCCGTTTGTTGATGGGGGAACTCCCTGGTGCTTTACAACTTATCCCCTGGCGCAAAAGCCAAGGCCTGGCTCTAAGCTTCAACGTGGCTCCAGTCTTATATAAATATGTGCTCAAGGGTCGAACATTTTGTCAAGTTCATGTTATCTTTCACGACTTCGTGAAGGGAAAGGACGGGGGAAAAGGGTGGGTCTCAACCAAGAAGCCGGGTTCAGATTTGTGGTAGAGTCTTTTTGAGCCAAAAAAAAACTACATCCTGAAGAGACAACTGGCCCCAACCAACTTCTCAACTTGATGCCGGGTGCGTCAAATGGTCACGTGGGATCACTTGTGGCCCTCTGCGTTGGAAGCTTTGTCTCGCTCAGTTTTTTATTTTTAAGCGAAAAATGATGAGTGAAGCTACAAATTTTCACACTTCTAAGTTCTCATGCAACAGTAGAACCATTTGAAAGGGGCACCTGTTTCTGTGAGGGACGCCATCCAAGGCGCTGCAATGATGGCCTGGCGAACCAACCCTTTGCCTATAATAAGAGCCTTTGTCTTAGACCACGTCTAACATCACAATTGATTGGATGATGATCAGCAGCAACATCCTTCCCAGCACCGGAAACTATCCGAAAAACCTTACCGATAACTGCTCGGAAATGGCTTGCTCGAGCAGTTTTTGGCGGTAACGTGCAAAACTGCAATATGATGGAAAATGTTCATCCATTCCATCAAGATCTGATCACTGTTCAGAAGTACATATCTATTCACTCTGCACAAAACCTTCTCAAATTGCACCGAAAAAGTAAACGGAAATATTCATGATAAAATTGAAGCGCATGCCACATGAAGATGACAAAGGTAGAAGACGGCGATTGAGTAATGAGTGTTAATAATCAAGAAACTTTTGTTCTAAGATTATGATCGAATTGGTTATCTTGCAAGAAACTCGAGCCGGGCCATGTCTTCTGAGTTCTACGTTCGGGAGAACCAGGATTTCATACATGTACTATGTCCACCCAGTCTTTTATCCAAAACGAGAGATCTCCTGAGTAAGGGGTTTTGAACTCAACCACCCTCATGACCGTTGGATCCAATTCGTCCCAATGATAAAAGTCTTTGGTGTTCGGATTATGCAATAAGAACGATATCTTGCGGTTGCTCAGGTTCTCAACAATGACGCTCTGGTACTCTCCCTGACTGTCTACTCCACTCCAGGTTAACGAAGCCTTCGCGTTGCCAAATTGATGCCGAATTCCGGTAGTGCCTGCTCCAAGCTGCGTCCCACACTGGGGATTCGCTGCGATAAAATTTACGAGGTACTGATACTTGAAATTAGTCAGGGAGGTAACCGGAAGCCACCGGCCAAACTGGTCGACTGGGGAAATAACATTTTGGTTGAGCGTGACTGTGAGGTCAGTTTTTCTGAGTCCGAGTTGTGCACATTGTTCCGGAAATTGAATACCCACCATTGGCAAAATGACTCAATGTGCTGCTGGCATTGGCGATCAAGCACGCTAGCCAAAACATAAGACCGTAATTTCTCATCGTTTCGTCGATTTTTAGGGGCTTTCCTGTTCTGGTTTTGTGACCAATCGTTTGGAATGCAAAAGTTGAACAAAAAGAGCAAAGATCAATAAATCATGCGTATGTTTTACTTTTTTGGAAAAACGTGATGGAAGCAGATCAGCCGTGGGAAGGATCATATGAGGGATCTGGCACGGAAGAAAGGGTTGTACAAGCTACCTTTGAGTTGATATTTCTTCACAATTAAAGCCTGTTGAGCGGAGAAAGTTGAGAATGGTTGTAAAATAGGTAAGAGATGTTCTGCAGGTGCGGCACTGAATGTGAAAGGTGCCAGAGGAATCCAGACAAGGGCGCTTTATAGTGAAGATGAAGACCCTTGGAGTTGGACCTTGGTCGGCGGCCGGGTGGTTCGCTTGTAAGGAAATTCGACAAAGCACCAACGCACTGAAATGTGTTTCGGCTTGCAAAGAGCTTTTATCGTAAGCAGCTGGCAACATTTTTAGACCATCAGGATGAACATGATACAAAAACGTTTATAGACCCAAACTGTCCCCAACTCAACCGTACATGTACATTTTAGAATGCCTCAAGGCTCGAGAAAAGATACAACGAATCTCACGATGGTACATTTTTGGTAGGGCATATTCACTGCCCTTCAAAAAATGGCCGAAGCGCCCTTCTTCGTTGTCGCAGGCCATAAATAGGCCAAGAAACAGTCCTGTCCGGGACTCCTGAGGGACTTCATGCAAGTTGTAACTAGTCCCCTGCTCGCTGTTACATGCTTGGAAGTCAAGTTTCGCTCACGCCTTCTGCTCGTTGGGATCGTTTCCCGGCAAACAGTGGTTTCAGAAATTCAGATGGACAAGCAATAGATTCTTTGGAAACAAAATGTCCAATAACGCAGTTCCATACATACATACATATGTTGGTGTTTTTGCTAGCGTTTCTATGCTAGGCCATTTTGAGATGGCCGAGACGCCCTCCTTCGTGGCCACTGACCAACACCAGTCAACAAAACCCTGGTTGAAATTCAGAGGGGGAGTGTTTTGCTCATCATGTCAGGCATGCCGTTTGGGATTTTGTCTCGGCAAACATTCTACTGGGTATCGGACGATCGAGGACTAGATTTTTTGGAACCATCGGTAACGCCTAACTTAGCTAATTAGTACCTCCGGCAGTTTCATCCGATGGCTTGCCGGAGGCCCTGCGGGACGGCGTCCCCCCTCCGAATAAAGAGGGACTTAGTTAAGTTAGGGTAACGCGGCGGTGGTAGCGGGGTCCCGCAAAAAAAACGCCACCAGTTTGCTGTTTTCCAGGCGAATTTGACAGTGTCAGCCACTCAGTGATCTCTCGCCCTCAACGGGACAGCCGATTGGTACCTATCAATCGGAAGTTAACCCTCAAGGACAAACTGACCGGGCTAAAGTAGAAAGCCCGGCTTTGTAGGGCTCAGTATTGCCTAGGCTGAGGGCCCTGCCTGATGCAAAGTACACCATGCGAAGGGGGGATTTGAAAGCAGCACCAGCCAACCAAACTAAATTAACTAATTTAAGAGGCTATTGGGCAAATTCTCTCCAGACTCCATCAGCTGCGCACCCTGGGTGTAGAACTTTTTGGACATCTATCTAATAACAAGATCGGACACAAATGTCCATGCAGTTCTTACCAGCAATGGCGCACAGCCTGATAGAAAATTGAATGTGAACAAAACCCAATGATTGTGCAAAGACTCATGTACTCAAGGTGCACAAAGCCTATTCGAGTGCACAGAATCCCATGAAATTAGAAATGAACAGTTGATGGTATTCACAATAAAATCGAACGCAGAAGATATGTAGTGCTATTGGCGAGAGTTTAGAAACAAATGATAGAAAACTGAACGTATTCACAAGAAAAGTAAGATTTAGATAAATGAATTCTATTCAAGATCATTCGAGTGGTTAGTTTCCTCAGAAACTCGAGAGATAGGCCCGATCGTTGGGAAAACGTTGGTGCATAACATCCCCCTACTCTGTAAGTCCGGCCAGTATAAACATCTTGACGTCGCCATCGTAGGGCCAGTGACTCGTTGGAAACGTAACGGGCTCGGTTTGTCTTGATTTTAGAATGCCACCATAGTGCCATAATCCGCTTTTTTCAACTTTCAGTGCATAGATTATGGGGTAATTGCATTTGTTATCAATAACGACGCCATGCTTCTGGGCATCCCAGGTTAACGTAGCTTTCGCGTTGCCAGATGTGTATTGGACGCTTGTTTCGTGTGGTTCTAGGAGTGCTCCCGAGCCCAAAATTGGACTGAGCGCCTGCACAACCAGACGTTTCTCCGGAGATAGGGAGGGAATTTCTCCCTGTGAGATCCAGTTTTCACGTCTGACGGCTTGGTAAAAAGCGTTTTGGTTGAGACCAAGGTTAGAACTTCTACTCTTGTCTTGTAAGGGGGACTTGCTTGTCAGTAAAGATCCATTACTCACGAGTAACTAATGCCATGTTACTGGCAATCAAGCAAGTAAACCAAAGCGCAATCATGAACGCGTAAGTTTTCATCGCTCCGTCAGTTCTCGGTTGGTATCTGGAATTGCAAAATTGCGAGTCAAGAAAAAGAAAAATTCCAAGTGCAGACGTCAATAAACGTAAAAACACAGAGGAATTGGCCGACTGTTTGATGTCAAAATAATCAAGCCTGGATCAAAGAAGAGTCAAGCATGGTTGAAAGAAATGTAGCTACATTTTTAGTTGATGCTTTGAGTCTAGTCAGCTGATATACTGGGAAGATTTGGGCAGGAGCGGTACTGGGTTGGAGGAGGCTGACTCGCTGAGCTAAGGGCATCTTATAGTCGAAATCGCCTCTCGTCGGCCGCTCATGCAGACAATTTAACTTTCCCTTAAAGGCGTACCGATCGGAATTCTAGAAGACAAGGTCGTATTGAGATCTGTTTCAGCTGAGAGCACTCAATTCTTTCAATAGTTACAAATCGTTGTGTCGTCGGCTTCCTAAACTGAAAAGACAATGTATCCCAACGTCGCACCATGTGGTACAACATTTCGGGTCTCCATATATCCTCCGCTTGTCGGCATCGTTTGTCTGCAATCAGTTTTGTTTTGCGGGTTTCAAGATGGACCTAGATGCATAAACAAAAGTTTTCAGATCAAGAGCAGCTTTCCGGATGACCGAAACGCCCATCTAACATCTAAATTTGTTTGACAAAAGCCATTCAAAGCGATTTAACTGGTCGCTCCCTTATGCTTATCCACATGATTTTGGAAGATGTAGCTGTTTGGTCGAGCGGCTCGGGCCTGATCAGATGAACTCCTATGGTGGTATTTTCCCTCTTGTCGTCGGCATCGTTTCTCGGCAAACAATTTGTGGGTTTCAGGCTAGCTTAGCACAACTTTCAAACCGCTGCGTGACGCAGATAGCGCCGTCGAACCTCACCCGAAGCCGATCGATCGATCATACTCGAAGCTTACTAGTAACCTTTTCTAGGGTCAAAACACTTCCGAACGACGTTAGCTGCGTATTTGCTAGAACATTGGAATGTGTTTTAGGCTTGTCCAGACTTTCAACTTTCTATGAGAGTACCCTCTCGACGGCCGCGAGGAATCCTCTTGGCCGTCGAGAGTGTGCTCCCGGCCGCTGCCGTGGGGTGGGGGTCATTTTGGTTCATCATGACCCCCATTTCCTGGTTGCTTTCCGAAGTAAGGCGTAGGTGGGCGTCGTCCACGGCGCCGGAGTTCTTTCCTTAGAGAGGGACTCGTGACCAGACTGACCACGCGGACATTCACGCCTTTCATCCAGTACAACTGTACTCGGAGTTAAGGGCAGCTGGTCGCGAGTCCCTCTCTCCCTCTTAACGTCTAGGAGGAGCTCGGCCCACCTAGTCCTCTTTCTCCCCCTAGGATTACTCGCCGTTCGCCCACTGAACTTCCCTTCATCTGCTCCACTCGGTCCTACACCCTAGCCAGAATTCCCTACGCCTATCGAAAACTTTTTCAAGTTTTTCTCTACCATCCCACCCACCCATAGGCAGTAGGGGAGCGTTGGGTCTAGCTTCGGCTCTACTCCGCCGGTAGTGGCCTCCTGCTCCGGGGTGAGTTTAGACGCTCTCTAGCGTTCTCCGTCGCACAGCCGCTCCAGGCTCTACAGGCGCCTGGAGGCCCTCTTGGCCGGAGTCTGCGAGATGCGCTACGCCGGGTCTTGTGCTAGTAGCCTCGACCCTGGCAGTCTCACCCCCCCAACCCATACTTGGGGATCTTGGGAACCCCCGCTGTAGCAAGCAGGGTTCCGGGATTCTCTAGGTGTCAGAAAAACACCGAACAAGTACAGGAAGTCACAAACGGCGCCAAGACAGAGGCGCCGTCACCAAGGTCTGAAACT